GGAGAGGGTCCGGCAGAGGTGGTCAGAACCGGGGCCGCCTGCCTGCCGGTCGGTCTGTGTCCGTAACAAGCTTTCCATTCCGAATCCGCAGAGTCCCCTCTAAAAAGTGTGAATCGGAGAGTTGCCTTTGCCTGGCACATGGGTGGAGTTCAATGATATATATTGACGGAAAAAATTCACGCCCACCCCGTTCATGCTGGCTCTGCCCCTGAAAGCACTCTCCCTTTTTTCTACTGTTATCTCTTTAACCTGCAAAGTCCTTCCAGGGTACGCAGGGAGGCAGAGCTCACAAGCAGGGGGACGGGATTTTTAGCGAAGGTGACAAATAGCAGCAGCAGCGGCGCTCATGTGCACAGGTGCATTTCTTTTCATTTTCCTTGAAATGTTTGACAGCTAAAGGTTGGGGGGGGCGACTAATGGAATTCTTTCTGAAATGAGGAACCGATGGCGGCGCTAATTTGGCCTTCGGTAATGAAAGTCAAGTGTGTTTTCGTAACTTTAGAAAACGGTCGGACGCAGTAGGCGACCCCCGCCCTCGCCCACGCAGCTGGAGCTTGTCAATGGAGGCCCATGATGCAGTTTTTCTTGGACTCTGTCGCTGGTAACATTGAAAATAGGCTCCGGGATAAAAAAGGCAATGGAAACTTTGATAGTTTTGGGTTCTGGGAAAATTTCCCTCCGAAATCGCATGGTTCCTGTCTTACTATTTCTATTTTTCTCACACCCTGAGCAAATACTTTATGTTACTGACATAATACGTCAGGAATAAGAACAGGAAACACTTGCAAAACACTTCACTTTAAGCTTTTTCCGTGGTTCAAATGAAAAGAGGCAGCATTTTCCATTATTTTTATAATTTACTGTCTGATTTATGGTAAACTGTGCTGACGTCTTTGTATTTTTGTCCACAGGGTTCGATTGCACAAAGTCACCTGTTTAAGATCGAATTCGGAAACTGGGAAAACTAACATTAATCCTCTTCTATGTCGGCTGGCTTTGGCTCTGGAAACAAAGGTGACTTACATTTCTCTTACTGAGCAAGTCCAGAGCAGTCATTTTTCCCGCTATTCAGAACACTGGAAAATGTATCAACCTTTATTATCCCTCACTGCGATGAGTGTCTTTGGATTGGTAATTATATTGTCTAATAAAACTAAACAGCCCATGCTATTTGCATATTATATGAAGAAGTGTCATACAACAAACTCATAGCAGCCAATTACCATAAAAGCTAATTATATATCTCATCAGCTTACAAGAGTTTCTGAACGTATGCCTCCCCCATTGCAGCCCAGAGCGAGGAGGGGTTGAATTTTCACGTCTACATAGCGACTTTTCACCACTATCAGAAGCGATTTCAGTATTTTTATGGATGAAAAGTTAGCGATTCAACAAGGTGCAATACTTGCTATAACGCCCTTAAATCTTCTACGTTAACTAGACCTCTGGAAAGACCATCTTTGCAACAATGGGAAAGTAATTATCGGTCACGCAGCAACCTAACTCCTGGTTTCACATCTGAAGGACCCTCCAAAATGACGAGAAAGATGGGTGAGATTTATCTGAGATTTCCAGACTCTCGTGAGAGAGACAGATATGCCACAAGGACTGACCCCAGGCCCGATTGTGCGCCGGGACGTAATTGTATCCCTGCTTGGTGGCGATAGCCATCAAGCAAGGCATCGGCCACGCGATGAACAGAGACGCAGTCCCAAACACACACCACGCCCCCTGCAATTGGCCATTGTGGAGGTGCTGTCCTAGAGCGGGGAACGCACCCCTGACCCCGGTTTTCTAGGGACGCCGAAGCCAACACTTCCCACTCCTCGTTTCCGTTTTCCGAGGCGCGCGCAGGGACCCCTCCCACCTCTGTGTCACCGCACACGTAACAAGCACATGGTCAGAAGACGCCTAAAGGGGGAGAAAAAAAAGACGCCGCGTCTACGAAGTATCCTGTGAGCAGGAGGCACGTTTCCAAATGAGAAAAGTCAGGATTCTCCTGGATCGGGGCGCGCCAAGAAAGCGATGGAATCATCCCGCGCCGTTTTTCTATCTGTAACAGACACCAGCCCAGCCGCGTGCGGTGAGAAAGCCGCTTCCTCCGGAGGGGCGGATGGCGCCCTTCCCATTCATATTGTAATGAGGCCAGTATCTCTGAGACCGTCACTCCGGATCGGAGGCGGCCTCCCTCACGATGACAATAGGGGCTGCGTTATTGACAAGCACCATTCAAACCCTTCGGAGTGCAGAGAGAAAGCCTTCGTTTTATCCCCTTTCCGGATGCTCACCGCGCTCCGACACTGACACCGTTCTGAGGGCAGAAAGCAGCTCAGCTCCCCGTTCTTCCAGAACAATCCTGAAATTTCCTGGAAGTCGCTGCGCTAAGGGGAATCCTGTACAACTCTAATCGCACGCGTCGTAACGCGCATCCCAAGGGCTGCTGGGCATAGGCGTCTTTTTCTTAACATTTTTTCTTGCCGAACGGGATGCAGGGGGATTTTAAAGTCATTTTTTAAAACATCTTCTGTGAACGTTACTCGGCTAGTCTCATTCCACTGTCTTTCCTTTCTTGTGAGGACGGTGACGCCGTGTTTTAGAGGTGCCTGCCAGCAAGCGTTCTCTGCTCTTAAAGGATGTTTACTCCAAAGAGCCACCAGTTCCGACAACCCCCCCCCCCGACCGCCATAGCCTGCAAAGGCGTATAAAATTCACATGTGGATCCCTTGACATAACATTGTGTTTATTAAATAAAACAGCCCCAGTACTATGAGGTTCGAACACACAAAATTACACTTTCAAAATAAGAAAACCAACCCCCGATCGGTGGCAACTTTTACCGTGGGGTCTGGTTTTAAGACGTGCCACCCCAGGACGTAAAAGAACGGCGGCCCCCGTGCGTGGGGAGGGAAGGCCCTTCCCATGCGGGCGGCCTGGTGCGCTCAGATCCCTCACCTCAGCGCTTCCGCACACGGCCCAGAACGTCCAGAACGTCGCTCCATTTTACAAAGCACTTCTGAGAGCGGCCTCGGCTCCACGGGAGATCCTGGGAAGCACCAGGGAACAGGGTTCAGGCCAAAGCTCTACACCCGCAGCCCCTCGCCCTCCGTGGCAGCCCCTCCCTGCGCTCCCCTCGCCTTTCCGACCGGGGAAGGAGGAGGGAAGCAGGAGGAGAGAATGGACTCTTGATTGCTGTTAGATTTTTTTTTTTTAATAAGCCAGGCTTCCCTTCTCTTCACAGGAAAGGGCTGTTTTGTTGACATCCGGAAAGTATTCTGCATTTATTTCATATGCGTCAGATGCAGAAATATACCTGAAGCTCACGCAGAGCAGGAGAGCGAGCCCTGACCGCCCTGAGCCGGCCGCTTCCCTGTTGTTTAGCATCGACCTCGGGATCCTGCGGCCGTCCAGCCCGATACGCATGTAATCCTTCGTTCCTGTGGGTAAAACATGGCCAGTTTGTTAACTCGTGTGTATATATATATATTTTTAAATAACGTGGGATGCTTCAGTGGCATCCTCAAAGGTGTAGAGAAAATGCAACTTGCATTTCGGGCGTGTGCACTTTAAAGCAACCCCTTTCAGCTCTTTTGACAGCAGACCTGAAAAAAAAACTAACACCCTCGTGAGTTTTTAAAAACTTGATCTTTTAGTGAATAAATAACTGAGGTGGGGTGTTCCAGTTTCATAAGCAACCTGGACAGCCGTTCAAAGGCCAACTGAAGCTGGGTTTTGAGGGATACCAGGGGATTTTGTTACCCAGCACACGGCAGGGCCGTTGAAAGTCACTTAGTGGTGTTTTTCTTGGGCTCTTTCCTCTTCTTGTTTCTTTGAACTTTTTTCTCCTTTTTTAACGAAGCTGAGGTCCGTAAGAGCCGGGTCGCCCCGGCGCGGGACCTCAGGCCGGGGCGCCGCCCGCCCGCGCTCCCGGCGGGTCCCCCGCGCGGCCGTGCGCCTCGCGGCCAGATGGCGGCGGCGAGGCGCGGGGGCCCTTTGTGCGCCCGGAGCGCGCCTGTGAATGCCGCGCGGTCGCCGGCACCGGAAGGGTTCACACTGCGCCTGAAAGGGGACAATGGAGGCTGCGGATGGCGACATCGCCGAAATCGAGACCGTTTGTGATTCAGCCGCTGTCACCATGGTAGTCAGGCAAACTTCCTGCTTTGATCAGCGGAGGGTGGAGAGGGAAGGAGCCCGCCAGGCCCGGCCGCACGGCGCGTCCGGGCGCCCTTGGCGGGTCCCCGCCCCCTTCCGGAAGGAACCGGGGACCAGCCTCCTGCACCTTGACCCGTCTAGGCGGCCCCCAAGTTTTTGTCTCCGTTTCCAAGGGCGAGGGGTGCTCTTTGACCCCCGCGCGGGGCGGAGGTGGCGGCCAGAGGGTCCTCTGCATCCTCGCTGGATTCCGGAGGGAGCGGGGCGAGCGGCGACGGCCACCAGCTGTTCTGAGGGACAGCGCGGTCGCGCTGGCGACGGTGGCGCGTGGCCTCGGGTCGCGTGCCCGCTCCACTCCGCGCAGGGGCGCTCCGCGGTGTCGGGGCCCGCAGGCACCGCCGGGGACGCACCCGTGGCTGTGCCTAAGTTCTCTGGAACTGATGGAGAGTTCTGGAACCAGCCGGGAGCAGCCGCCTCCCTCCAGCTCGGCTCGCCTCTCCTCTCCTGGCTTCATCTTCTCCCTCCTCCTCCTCTCTCCCTCTGCCAACCAGACGGATAACGACCGTGTTCTGTGCCGGATGCCTTACCGCGCGCGGTCAATGACTTTTCCACACTCTGCCTAAGTGTGGTCTCGCGTTTGAACGTCTTTTTCCCGTCCACCTGCAAGCATACGCACTTTTAAAACACCCAGGCCTGAAGCTAACTTCTTAAATTGCGTAAATAACACGCCCGCAGGCTGGCCCTTGCGTTGGGAACCGGCGGGCCGCGGGCGCGCCTGCCCAGCCAGCCCCGAGGGCGCCTTCCAAATCCCTGGCGCCTGGAGACGAGTCTCCTCCCCGCCTGGCTCCCGGCAGATCCCCTTGGCCCGGCCCGAGGCGCTCCTCGCGGGCCTCCCGGGCCGAGCATGCCCGCGGGTGGACGGCTCCAGGCTGGAGGAGGACCCTGGAACCGAGGAGAAGACGTTCAAGAGATTCGCCCCCAGGAAAGGAGACAACATATACAAAGACTTTTAAAAAAATCCTTTTTTTGTTTTTCACTCAAGAGGCTTACAGACCTTGGAAATTCGCGGTAAGCTCCCTCCGCAGGCGAGTCCTGCGCTCACGGAGCGCGCTTCTGGCTTGTTTGTTTATCTATTTATTTTTTCCGGGGGGGGGGCTATTTGTTTTCGGTTGTTGAGTTTCAAGGCGGCGCATATGAAAATGCTCCGTTTGCTTTGTGGTCCCGCCGCACGCCCAGTGCGCGCGTGCATTTGGGAACGTGCCTGGCGGGCCGCGAGGGGGCTGTGGCGTGTGGCCTGGGCCCAGAAAGTTAAGGGGTGTTGTCCAGAAAGGGCTGTGACAAACCCCAGCGACTCGGAGGCACAGTTTGCTTGGCTTCTGTGGGGTCTCGGTGGGTCTTCTCGCCGAGGTAGGTCCCTAACAGGGTCACAACCAAATTAAAGCGAGAGTGTCGTCCTCAAAGAGGGAAGGGCAAACGGTGGGGACGAGGGGAACACCTAGGGTTTCAGAGAAGAGAACATTTCCGCCCCCCCCCCCCGAGTTAATTCAAGTATTTTAGCACCAACTAAGTTAAACAAAGGCTTAGGTATGGTAGTTGGTGTAATGCCAACCCCCCCCCCCCAGTAAAATGTTTATTTTACCTCAATCCCGGCCCCTGGTTCACCAGAGTGTGCCTGGCAAACTGGATTGCAATATATTTCCCTTCCCTTAATGCTGTTGAATCGGAGCGATGGAAAAAGCCTGCTTTAGGAACGAGTTACGTTCACGCGTTAGCCAAACGTCAGGCATGCTGGCGCCCCGACCCGGGGGCCTCAACTGACTTTGCACGATTTCGGTTTCATTAAAAAGCACAGGTAATGATGCTGGGGTAAAAGGACTTTGGAATCGGAACTGTATGGAGCACCTGTGCTTGTATTTCACCGGTTGTAGGGAAACATATTGTCGTGGCGCTGAAGTGTGTTTTCAGGGCCACTCAGCATTTTTAGTCTTGCTTAACAGACTCCGAAAACGAGTCCCCAGTCTCTGGCGAACGGCCCCCTGGAGCTTCGCTGCTCCCAGACTGGAACCTGGCGGTTTTCTCCCACAGGCAGAGCCTCCAGTTGGAGTGTGAGATTTCTGAACGCACGGGCAAATTTGAGCTCCCTCTTTGCTGAAAAGTCAGATGGGGGGGGGGGGGGGGGGAGAAGCAGCAAAGTGAAATCGTGGCCGGGTCCCTAAATGGTATGACAGGAAACTTCGCGAAGTAACTGTCAAGCGTGTTATGCACACTGAAATTAAAGATGCATGTGTTTTGATTGCTGAGAAAGCTTAATTGTTTTCACACTTCAGGTCCTGGTTTAAAACCACGAAAATGGATTATTATGTTAAATCGGAAGGAAACTGGTTTAACCATTTCGAGGGGCTGGCTTCTTCTTTTTTTTTTTTAAATGTAAATAAATGAAGACTTTTCAGCCCCATCAGTAGGAAATGCGTTTCTTCCTCTCTGTGCATTCCAATTTGAGGAGGAGAGACAGACACCCAGAACCATTCCTCATTCCCGTCTTTCAACACGACTAATCAGCTCGTTAAGTCCCAGGAAAAGGATGCCTTCAACATGCTGGAAGGAGGGCGAACACGCAATGATGTCTTGAACCCAAAAGGCTGATAAAAACGGACCCCCTTGGCCCCACGATTTTGTGTTGCCAGCCAATAAAACGCTGCTACGATGCCTTGCGAGTGCGTCCGCACCCACACATGGTGGTGTTTTGCTTCCACAGTGCGAAGCCATCACAGAGGAGTCTGAAGACGAAATACCCTCCCTTCTCGCCCGGGAGGCACGCTACCTGGCTGACAAGCTGAGCACTGAGAAGTCAGGTACTGTGTCTGATGTAACACGGGCCCTCTCGCTGGCCCCCCCGCCCCGCCCCCAGCAACGCAGCTTCGTTCTTTTTTTTTTTTTTTTTTTCCCAAACTGAGCTTCTTGTCTCCGGGCCACCAAAGCTCCTCCAGTGAATCAGAAACAACACCCTGGGAGAGAAAACAAACAAACAGCCACAGGGCTGGGGCTTGCGCGGCAGCGCTGGCTGCCTCCGCATTTTCAGGGAATTCAAAAGGGCGCGATTTCTGACGGGTCCTGCTGGTCCGAATCCGACCAGAACCCAAAGTGCTTGGCTGCTTTCAAACTTGGAGCGATTGGAAGTCTTCATCCTGGACGGGGAAAGGAATTCTCGGTCTTGCCTGGTACCTACAACAGCGACAGAAAGTGGGGTCTTTATTTAGTGAGATATTTAAAATGTTTTTTGTTTGTTCATTTGTCAGGGGTGCTGGCTATTTTTTTACAAGTTCCTTTCCCAGAGTATCTCCTTCATAGGAACTTTTTTTTTCCCCCTGGCAGAGGGGGGAAAATAATACTTGATTCACGTTCTTAAATACACACAAACACTCAGAAGCTGGGAAAAAATGGCCCGAACTTGACTTACTACATACAAAGTCAAAACGTGCTACCGCCATTGGCTCCCAGCAGGTACACGCTGACTCAGAGCCGGGAGCACTTTTTCTTCGTTGTTGGGAGAAGTTTGGGCCACTTAGCTTTTAGCAACTATTTATAATAAAGTATAATACCCTTCCATCCACAGTATCCAATGTGTTGCCAGAGTTCGTAAAATAATAACTGCACTTCTGTAGATAAATAGTTAGGCCATCAAAAGTTATTCAGAGAGAGGTGGTTAACAAATCCCCATGTAACAAGATGGAGTTTTCTTATTCCGAATAGAAAAAGGGTTGTTTTCCTGTTGAAGGCCTACTGTGGTTGGGAGTTTGAGGAGAACCAGGAACAGCCAGGGTTGCTCAGGAGCCGGAGAGCTTTTGTTCATCGATTTCAGATGCGCAATGCACTTTGTGCAACGCCCGTGAGTAAGTGCGTAGCTGCACTTTCCCAAAGACAGTGCTTTTGGGGGTCTTTCCAATGACTCAGAGAAGCCCGCAGGCACCAAGACAGGAGCATGCGGCGGTCGACGGCACCGCCGATGTCGGCTGTCCCTCCTCACAGCGGGCCGCGCCCGCCTGGGCATGCGGGGCCGCGCGGGCAGGGCGCCGGCAGGACCAGGACGGCGACCCGATGCTGCAGCAGGCCCCGCGGTCCCGCCCACCCTCCACGGCCGCAGGGCCCCCACGTCCCAAGCTTTGGGGGAGAGACCTTCTGTCCGAGGGCAGCTGTTGGACTGTCTTTCAGCAGTAGTAACAGTCGCCTCATTCCTTCTGCATATTTATAATGGGAAATAAAAAATTAACCCTAACCTCAAGAAAATGCAAGCCTACAGCACAACCCTAAGATTTGTGCCCTATCACGGGTATAAAATAACACAATTAGGTAATGTGTTCCCAACAGCAGCTGGCGTTTTAGAAAGCGGGGCTAAGCGTTCCCAGTATGCACAGAAATGTCAGGGTCTTGGAGAGCGAGGTTGGCACCGCGAGGTGGGGGCAGACCCGTGGCTGCGGAGCGAGCAGGCTGGCTGGGTGGGTGGGTGGGTGGTTTTCTTCACATTTTGTGTCTTTACGTAACGTATTGATGGATGTTCTAAACCATTCCTAAGTCCCAAAATGAAAACGTGTATTAATCTTAAAAAAAGAGTCTAGCCCCCTGTCCTCCCAGTCCCCTTCCTGTTGAAGGAAATTCTCACCACGTAACAGGGCAGAATGGGTTCCAGCGTAAGAATTACCTCCAGAGAAGGCCCCAGCGTGTGAGTGCCGCTTTACTGCGTGGGGCGGGTGCCGATAAGCATGTAAAAGGTCTGCAGATACTCGCTTTCCTTTTATTAACCTGGCACGTTGCAGGAAAACACCGGCTGCTTTGCAGCGGAGCCCGCGACTCTCGCCGGGGGTCCCCTGTGGTAGCAGGGGTGCCTGCTCGGCCTGGGGAAGACCGAGCGGGGCCACTTCTGCTGCCCAACAACTTCCCTGCGATTGACCCCCGCGAATCCAACGGCGTCCCCAACATCCGGCCGTGGGTGTGAAGGAGGGCGGAGGTTATGAAAGCGCCGGCACGAGTAACTCTCCACCAGCGCAGGCTCTGCCCGGGGCACCCTGCCCAGAGCTGCTAAAGCGTCCACATGCTGCTTTTAGGGAGATGAGGAGTATTTTCACAACTCGTTATTTCTAAAATCGGAAGTGTGATGGCAGGTACATCCCTTTCGATGCTTCGTGTGTACGGTACGTACACGTATATAAACAAGTGTGTAGAGATGAGTTTTGCTTTTTTCTCTTTAACGTAGATCACTTCCCTTTATGTCTCGCAATCACACGGGCGCGCAGGAGGGCCCCTCACAGGCTTCTCAGGACGTCAGCGCCGCTGACCTCGGGGGTTGAGAGCTGTTTCGAGTGTGCTTCCTGGCGACGTGCTCTACGGGCCCCTGTGAAGGGATCTGTCCCCATCTGGCTGGCCAGCACATTCGAGCCTTCAAAATATTACGATTCCAAGACGCACGCCCTGCACACAAGCCGACAAACGGGGGCCGGCAGAGGCAGCGCGTCGCGTGTGGAATGCTCGGACGATGGCGCTGGGATTTAAAAATCAGCACAGTGGGAGCCTCGGAGGCGGCGCAGGTCTGTGTTCCCACGCGCGCGGGTGCCGGCCGGGCGGAGGCCGCTGTGGCCTGCTGGCCGGCGGGCCTGACGCAGCCCTCGGGCCACCTGTGCTGGTGGCGACAGCGTGGGGGAGGGGCGTTGCCCATGGAATCGCCCTCTTTTTTTTTTTTTTTTTTCTTCCCCAGGCAAAGAAATACCAGCAAGTTCATTCGATTTTCCTCATGAAATATTTCGGGGCACATAGCCCAGGCTTCTCCGGATCTCCATTTTAAGGCCTTGACGTCACCTTGATGTTCTAAAACCTTCATAAGACACAAGGTAATGGTTCAAAGTATAGCTATGTTCTGTTCAAGGCCGAGAACGTATCAGGCCAGACCACGAATGAGGGGAGGTGTTCGCCAGCTAGCGCAGGTGAGGGTATAACTACAAACACATACGTGTATCCGGGGCACACAGCACTTAAGCTTTGATATCAGATCTTGGCACGTAAAACCATCAGGATGATGAATTGGTCATGTGATCATTGCAAATGCAACCTAGGGCATAAAGGATCAAGGATCTATAAATATGTGGCCCATGTTTAAACTAAAAGCGTTACTGCCTTTTTGTAGAGACCACAAAAAGGTACCAAACAATTCTAATGTACCCAACAATCGCTTTCTAGGCTGGCATATTTTCTGTGTTGACTAATCCGTCGCCTTTCTAAAGAGAGGTGGCGGGAGTCGCCTCCGATTGGAAAAGTCGTGTGTAGCAAAGCCCTCCTGCTCCTTGGGTGAAGTGCCAAGGGCGCCCTGCCTCTCTGTGAACTGTGGGAGCATTGGTCGCCTCGTGAAAAAACATTTCCAAAGCACCGTGAAGTGGCCAAAGCGGTGGCCCCTGCGGAGGCCGGGGCGGGGGACAGAAAGTCGATGACACCCTTCTTTTGGCCTTTGTGTAGTTTGAACTCGTCCACCGTGCAAAAGCCTTAAAGCTGTGCTGCCGTGAGGACAGGCGTTTTGCAGGAGGCCGGTGGCTCTGGGGCTGGTTCCCCGCGCGATGGTGCGGCGCTTCCACTTCCCCTCCAGGTCGGTGTGAGGCTTCTACCGGGCGCACTGAGCTCCAGGAGTGACGTGCCCCCCGTTAGAAAGACGTCACGTCACAGCCCCAGGTCAGTGCCTGCGTTTATGTCGTCCCGTCTCTTTGTGGGAAGAAACTTTGTGTCCCTTGTTTGTATTACATTGTCTTGTGTACAGTGTTTCATTGAAAATCTGTTGTTGGGCCTCATTAAAACACACACACACACACACACACACACACACCCCCGGATTCTTTCTATAGGTGAGGCTGAGGGCATCGAACGAATTATCTTTGTGGATTTGATAAACATCGGTGTGGCAATAAAGCATTTAATTTGGTAACAGGAAAAAGGAGAAGCCATTTCGTACATGAAATAAGGATTTAGTAATGTGTCCTCTATAGTTTATGCACATATACAAGAATGTGTTCTATTTTATAAGAACTTGATTTGATTTCTTAGATGGTCATGCAATGAATAAAATATCTTGCCCCAAATTCCAGATTGTCTCTTCTGGGTTATATATGGCTACCGGTGAAAGAAACACACTCACTCCACATCAAGAATGAAGTTTAAGTTTCTTAGAAACCAGAAGTTGGAAGACTTTGTAATCTCTGAAATTTAATTGAATGAGCAGAAATAACGAATCACTTTATAATGATCCGTTACAAGGCATTACACTGGCCTTATGCGTGTATTCTGAATTCCAATAATTTAGGAAGTCGATTTCTTAGTATATCATGCGTCTTACAGGACAACACCCGTGACCAGTTTTTGTTGGGCTGCAAACTCTCCTGTTGTTGTTTTGAAAAGGCTTTCAGCTCATGTCTCGTGTGTAGTCTTGACTCCTGACTAACCTGTCATTCCCCCACGGGCGAGGTTTTGCAGGCGTGGAGCGGGGAGGGCGGGGGGGGTTGCGCCACGTTACCCGTGACCACGCTGGCACAGGAAGGAGCGTCGTCGCCCCCTCCCCCTCCCCCTCGAGCGGTTCCTCACGCCTGTGAAACGCACATTCGAGGGAACCTGACTTTAGCCGCCTCCAATACCAGGGTGCGCTCTACACTCGCTTTGTAAAAGAAATTCTCATTGTTGCCCGTGGAAACTTCCTGGGTGGGGTGCTGTAAACGCTGCCCTGAAACGGCAAGGATGGCTTGCCACGCGGTCCCTCGTTGCTTAGAAATCGCGCTGTGTAAACCCGGGGGCTGCCGGCTTTTCTGCAGGAAACACTTCTTAAATCTGGGAAAAGTTACCATGCCTGGCCCCCCATCCCAACTCTTTTTAAAGGCCAGATTCTTAACGTCCCTCTCTCCTGTTTGGGGGGAAATCGAGGAGCTGTGCTGTTTGGGTTTGTCTGGAGCTGGTTCAGTAGCGTAAAACCGTTGCAGCTGCTAGAAAATGGAAGCAGGATTGAAGGACAATTAGCACCCTTTTCCAGCAGGGTTGTAAAATGGGTGTTTACAAACTAGTCCCTGAATCTTTCTGCCAGCCTCTCTAGTTACTGTGAATTTAGCATTTCACGCAGCAAGTCATAAACGTTGCACTCACCTGGGCCTTTTTCGGTCTGTGCACCCAAAAGAAACCTGCCTTCTCCTCTCGGTGGAGGGAGGGGCCCCCACAAAGTCCCCGCCGACGCTGTAACCGCTGTCACGAGGCCGTGCCCGTTCAGACTCTGGCCAGCGTGGCCGCAGGTCCTCTGGCATAAAGGGCACTCGTCCTGGGGAGGCCTGGAGAGAACGGGCCTCCGGCCCATGGCCTGGGGCCGGGCACAGGTGCGCCTCGTCGCGCCGAGGCTGCGTCCGCCTGGACCGGAGAGGACCGTGCGTCTTGTCTGAGGGCAACTCGCTAAGGTTTGGCTAACACACGGCTTTTTCCACATTTGATTTCCCAGTCAAAACGGCCTTGTCTCTTACAAGATTTTTGATTACACCTTTTTTTTTCTTTGGGGGCATTTTTTCCCAGATCGAACGTATTCAGTTAAATTCACGCCAACATTTGTAGCGCACTAGGCTACTGATGAAACGGCGGTGGAGCGCCGGAAGCTGCCGTGTGGCTCCCGGACGCGGGACACCCCCCACCCCGCGCCCTGCCGTCCCCCAGGGCCGTGGGCAGGCCACGCAGCTTTGGCCTGTGCCTAATAGACTAATAGACGGAGCGGATGCTGGCTCCATGTCCCTCCCAGACGGTGTCCCTGCCTTTTTAATGATGTTGGTGGCCAAAGGCAAAAAGCCAGGAAACAAAACACCACCAAGGACGTGGCAGAAAAGTTCCTCCGAGTCCAAGGGAAGCGACCGCATCCTGGGCCGCACAGAAATCCCGGGAGGGGGAGGGGGGGTGATGTTTGTGGAGACAACAGCAGAGACGATGTGTGCGGGGGCAGGCGGTTTCGAATTGCGCTTTTATGAGATGGCGTCTTCGGGTCTCCGCGGAAGGCTTCTGCGAACCCGTTCTCATCGAGAAAAGGCCAAATTGGCTGAGATGAACAGTTGTGTTTGTTATGTGGGTTACTATTTGCTGAGAATAAGCCAAGACCAAGGAGTCCATTTCACTGAGGAGTGCGGAGTGGAATTGAGCTGAAGTCCCAAAAGGGCGGGATCAATACTTTATTTACTAAGACAAGCCCTAAAAAAAAAAAAAAAAAAAGAGTCAATAGCTGGTTCTCTTTTTTGATACCTGTTTCTCTGCTTAGGTTGCTACTTATTCATGTATGCAATAGCTTTATTTTAATAAAAAATGTAATTATATCTCCATCTTGAAATGTAGGTGGCAATGGAATATGAGAAAAAGCTGCTCTTGGATGGGGTGTTGTGGCCTGTTTCAAAATTGGATACAAATCTGCGAGCTAATCTTAGACCTCGACGCCCGCTGCACGGCATATGGCACAGCTCCCTGCCAGGGCGCAATGAGCTATGTCAAATGTCACAACAAAAAGATACCTGTTCGAGGCAAGTGTGTTTTCATTACGGTTTTCTGCCCGTGGTTGAGCGTCCCTTTGTAAGTTTCTTAAATTCCTTAGATTATGGGTGTTTAGAGCAAGGAGCTAAATAGATCAACGATCAAAGGGGATCGATGAAATTTAAAGATGAAAGTCGTAACAACTCATTAGCCTTAAATCACCTAGGAAAAGACCCCGTCCATGCCGCTGTCCTTTTGGGGGACATCCGTGCTGCCCTTTGCCCTCACTGCGTGTTCGCTGAAGCGGAAGGGTCCCCTGTTTGGGGCCGTTCCTCACGTGGAGGCGGTGAGTGAGCTGAACACACGAGTAGGTCGTGTATCTGTAGGTCCTGGCCCTGCGGAGCCCGGGGGGGCAGCTCTCCGCCTCCTGGGGGCCCGGGACGCGGCGGCGGGGGCCGCGGCACAGGGGGGCACTAGCACAGCCCTGTGCGTGCAGACAGGGAGCAGGTCAGGACGGGGACGCTGGCCGCAGCTTTGTTCACCCCCAGGGCAGGTCTCGGAGGCAACGCCTGCAGAGAGTTCTTCACTTCCTCAAAGGGAAAAAAATTAGTTCTGTGTGCCCTGCCTTGCTTTTGAAGATGTCCCAGAAAGGAAAAAACATGCTCGGTTACAGCGCACAGAGGAGATCTCGCGCGCGCGCGCCAGCAACATACTCACGAAACCTGTTCGTCAGGACGTTATGGGGCGACAACACCGCGGGGTCACAGTGGAAGCCCAGTAGACTCTTCCTCCAACGTGGCTCGTTATGAGGGAACACAGGTTTCAGGAGACCAGGGTCCAACTCGTGTCCCCCGAAACATAATGGGATCATGTCGGTCACAGCGCAGCGTGGGAGACAGCTCCTGAGCGGCAGCCTTGGGCCGCCCCAGGAGCCGCGCTCAGAGGCGACAAAGATTCGACCGCCTCCCGCCGCCTCCCGGGGGATGTCAATGCCCTGACACCTGAGGCAGGCGAGGTACAAAACGCAGCTCAGTGCTCCGTGGCGGCTCGTTAGGCCTGGCTGAGGCCCGGACGGATCCTGTAAGAGACAAGTTAAAATATTAATACCAACTTCCAGCGTCGCGAACAGCGAGGACGGCACCTGTCGGGCTCGGGCGCGCTCCTGGCGTCGCGCGGGCACCGTTTGCCTCCGAGCTGCTCTCTGAACAGGTGGCGCTGTCTGCGCCGCATGTCCTCTGATACCAGCGCAGAGAGAGAGGGTGACAAGAACCCTTGAGGTGACACCATTGTCAACAGAGAGATTTCAATCAGGTGCTTTCCATTGTCTGATAGAAATGATCTTTGTGGCTTTGTTGTTCTTCATCAAAGGCGCCGACCAGCACGCCCGCCTGCCCGACGGTGGGCAGGGGAGAGCAGAGAACCGAAAAATGGACTCCTTGGTCCCCATTAAAAAATGGACCCTGTTTAAAGTGACACAGCATGAAAACCGAGTGAAATCTAATACAAGGTCCAATCAGTGTTATTAAATTATTACACCTTGAGGTGGAAATAGACCCTTCAACTGCCTTGATGTGCAATCAAAGCTGTGATTAAATATTGATTAAATATGAATGCCCTAAGATGAAAGGGTCACTTGAATGGTTTGGTTTGTTTTTTTGCTTTTTTTTTCCCTGAGAAAGCAAAGCACCCTGTGACAAACGGCAGGTGCTGGCACTTAGCTCCCTCTGTGTCCTCTGTGGACACGAGAACCTGGACCGGTTTTGGGACTGCGAAGTCCAAGGCTGCAGGTCAGCCTTGCGTGGGCTGCAGCCCCAGGTGACCGCGCTGTGTCACGCTCCGTCCTTGCCAAGCCCCAGACAGCTCGGTGACGCCAGCCTCCGCCCACCAGCAAGGCTGCGGCCCCCGCGGAGCGGAAGCCGCGATTTGGAGAGGCGTCCCCGCGGCCCCGACGCCCTTCTGCTCAGCTGAGGGGCAGCCGCAGGCCTGCCGCCCTCCTGGGTGGATGTGCTGCCCGTGAGAGAGAGATGGCCCTCCTGCCTTTTCGGAAGCGGTGCTCCCCGCTCTTGGCGCCTGTGTCTCGCATCCAGGACGGGCTCCGCGTCTCTCGTTCCGGGACTCCTTCCCAAACGGCCGTTTCCCGTTAGGCGCCAAGGTGCTCGGTCACCGCAGAGTCACCCCATTACTCAGGGCAGAAAGCCGCGGGACCAGGGATCCCAAGCCTCCTTGGGGGGGCGGCCACCTGACCCACGCCCAGGGCTCTGCCCAGGTCGGGGCCCCTTTGTCTGTGGGTTCTGGGATTCCCGCGCTGTCCTGCGTCCTTGCTCTGCGGCTGGTGCCCCGGAGCCTCGGCTGCCCCTGTCCTGGTCCCAGACGAGTCAGCACCTGGGCCTTCTCATCAGGTGCAGCCTTTCCCTCCATTTCTTGCCTTGGATGTGAACCTCGGGGCCCTTCTCCTGGGTTGGCCCGTAAACCCAGCCACGTTTAGATCCTTCCCCCGCAGGTCCCGCCGTGCAGCCTGGCAGGCTCCCGCGAAAGCGCTGGGGGGCCTCCCCGCACCTGCCGCGCCCCCCGGTCGGGGCGTCCACAGGGGCCTCGCTGTGGCCAAACGCCCGGCACCTCCCCCCGGGCCTCCCTCACTTGTGGGGGCCTCTCGCTGAGCCCCGCCCAGAGCCAAACTGCCGCGGCCTGCGTGGTGCCCGGGCACCGCCTGCGCCCCTGTCCCCACACGGTCTTCTTGGTCTTGTGCTCCTGGCACATTTCCTTCACCACCTGCGCGTCGGGAGGCCCCGTGGTGGGCGCTGAGCAGGACAGGGCCCAAGGGGGGGGACAGTGGAGCAGCCTCCATGTTCAGACAGGCGGCAGCGGGGGGCTGCCGTGGGCGGTGGGGGGGACACGGAGCAACTGTGGGAGCTGGTGCCCGCCCCACGTTGGACAAGGAGGGACTGGGGTCCTCGCCCTCCTCCCTCGAGGGCCACCTGTCCCTGGCGACGTGCCTCACGCTAAGCCTCACGCTACGACCGGCAGCGGGTGCCGGAGCTGCAGAGACAGGACAAACCCAGGCTCGCGCAGGGAGGTCGGGCCGACTGCGCACGCTGCCCGTGGGGGACCTGGACTCGGGGAGCGTGCTCTCCGGCCAGTGGCCTGCGGCAGGCGTCGGGGGGCCTCCAAGGTGACGGGACCCAGGTGTGTCTCCTTCTGAGGACAGAGAAGCAGGGACTCCCCGTGGGAAGGCCGGAATGATGGGGCGCCTGCTGGGTGTGGAGAGCCAGTGACCGCGGGGACCCCTCGGTGGAGGGGCGCCCCCCACCATGGACTGTGGCCCTCGGCTGCATCAGAGAATGTCCTTGTCGCAGTCAGTTCCCATGTGGAGGAGGATGTTCAAGAGGGACGGGAACCCCGCCCCCCGCCCCCCCCCCGCCCCGGGGCCTCCATGGCACATGCCCAGGGCCACGCTGGGAGCTGAGTGTCCCGCGGGACCTGCCACCGGACTTTCGTGGGACCCTGATCGCCCGTCGGGTGCGACTGTGGGTGTAACCTGAGTTTCAGCCTCTGCACAGACTCAGGTTATAAAGCAATTTCATCAATTTCATCTGTTCTTGCTGATTTCCAAGAGAGGACAAAGTGGTTCATTTTTATTTGCTAATTTAGGCTCTTACAGTGCTGGGGGCAGCCGGGGGGCCCTGGAGGCGCTGGGGTCTTTTTGGTCCCTTTAGAGGTTTTTTGTTTTTTAATTGATGTTAGAGAGAGGGAGAGGGAGGGAGAGAGAAAAGCATCAAATGTTTTGTTCCACGTAGTTATGCATCGATTGATTCTTGTAGGTGTCCTGACTGGGTATCCAACCTGCAACTTTGGCACATTGGACATTCTTTCCTTTTTTAAGATTTTATTTATTTATTTTCAGAGAGAGGGAAAGGGAGGGAGAGAAACATCAACGTGTGGTTGCCTCTCACGTGCCCCCTCTGGGGACCCAACCTGCAACCCAGTCATGTGCCCTGACTGGGAATTGAACCGGTGACTCTGGTTCACAGGCCGGCGCTCAATCCACTGAGCCACACCAGGCAGAGCAGATTGAGATAGTTATAAAATACGTTTTTAAAGGATACATTTTTAAAAAATTGGTAGAGAGAGAGAGACACACACACACACACACACACACATCGGTGTGAGAGAAACATTGATCAGTTGCCTCCCGTGCGCACCCCAACCGGGGACTGAACCTGAATCGGGGTGCACAGGACGATGCTCCAACCAGCTGAGCCCCTGGCCAGGGCACGAACACACTGAACTGCGGTGTGGGTCTCTTTCCTGGGACTGAATGGCAAGAACGAGAGCAGCAGGTCTAGTAACCGATTTGGAAGTAGTGATGAGCAAAAACGGTATTCTCTTACGTTCCCCCCCCGCCCCGCTGCGGCGCGACGGGGCAATAGCAGTGACGTCAAGCGGCCCCCTTGTCTCAGGCAGTGACGCGGGCCCCAGTGGCAGCGTTTCGGCTAGAGATTGTTTAGCGAAAGCAAGGGTGAGCTCCCACCCCAGTTCGCGGCACCCAGGTTAAGATCTCCTGCCTTAAAGAGCAGGAAGCAATCCTGTCCAGGGGAGAAACTGAGGCACAGAGAGCCGAACAGCAGGTCAGAGCCCCCACGGGACCTTCCGGTGAATGTGCTGACCGGCCGGCCCTCCTCAGCGTCCAGTCTTAAAGTGGTAGGAACCCAGAGACTTCATCCCGAAATCCTTCCAAAAAGTTCAGCCGGCCACATGCAATCCTCAGCCAAGTAAACAACTTGACATTCTAACAGTAAAACAACAAGACATTCTAAGAAGCATTTGAGGACGGGACAACCGTTATCGACCATCTAAGTCCCCACCTGAACTACGTAAACACAATTGCTCAACCCAGGGTGGCGGGGGAGGGGAACGAGAAGGTTCCTTTTACTGGAGAAGATCTCCGCGGCCCGACGCCCCGTGCTCGCTTTGGGGGCGCCCTAGAGGGGGTGGCCCGGCTGCGGGAGGGATCCCCGTGGATCGCCGGTCGGATGTGAGAGGGAGGGACATTTCTGAGTAACGGGAC